AGGGAAGGATCGGATGGAAGAGGATGGGGGAGGCCTTCGTCCTGCAGTGGGGAGGATGACAGCAACAACAGCAAACTCACACAGAGATTCATAGACTCACACGGAGATTCATGGACACTCACTGAGATTCATGGACACTCACTGAGATTCATGGAATCACACAGAGATTCATAGACACTGAGATTCATAGACTCACACAGAGATGCATAGACTCTCAATGAGATTCATAGACTCACACAGAGATGCATAGACTCTCACTGAGATTCATAGACTCACACAGAGATGCATAGACTCTCACTGAGATTCATGGACTCTCACAGATATTGATAGACTCTCACTGAGATTCATAGGCTCACACAGAGATGCATAGACTCACACAGAGATTCATAGACTCTCACGGAGATCCGTAGACTCACACTGGGATCCATAGATTTACACAGAAACTCATAGACTCGCATTAGAAATCAATATACTCGCACAGAGACCCGTAGACTCACACAGAGATTCATAGACTCGCACAGAGATCCATAAACTCACACAGAGACCCATAGACTCACACAGAAACCCATGGACTCTCACAGAGACCCACAGACTCACACAGAGACTCACATACAGACCCAAAGACTTGACACAGAGACCCATATACTGTACGTACTATGGTTACAGAATGATTGCAAATACTTCTCATTTGAATACCTTGGAATAAATAAAAGTTTGATTAAGAAAAATAGAAACAGGTTTGTTTTTTTTTGCAGGAGGGCAAGGCATTGCCATTTCAGACGTCTCCCCCCCCCCCCATGCATCTGCAGTGCCCCGCTTTGTACCCATTTCCCCTCGTTTCGTTATTCTCCACGGTAAACCGTTTCGTGACAGCGCGACCCTGGAGGGTTTTTTGTTTACTTCAGTGAATTTTCAGCATCGGTCGCGGTCAGAGTGAGAGTCCGGCTTCGACGATCGATGAGGAGGTGCACGGCTCATCGATTCAAGCCCTGAGCCAGCAGTGGGAAGTTCCACGTTCCTATGGCAGGAGATCTCCCCTCGGAAGACCCGGAGATAAATCCACGCTACTGCGAGGAGAGACACCGCAAGCTCAAAATATAAAGCAGGCGTCAGGGTCGGGATCGAACTCACGGCCTTCTGTATGCCAGGCGAGGTAGTTAACATCTGCTAGCCACCGTGATGATGATGAGAGAGAGAGAGAGACACGCAAACTCCAAATATACAGCAGGCGTCAGTGTCGGGATCGAACTCACGGCCTTCTGTATACCAGGCGAGGTAGTTGACATCTCCTAGCCACCGTCACGTGTTCCATTTGAGAGCGCAAAAAAAACCTACCCCGAACAGAAAATAAATCAATCAATGGAGTCTTCTAAGTTCATCCAAGGAAAAAAACAATAGCACATCTGGAAATATCCCTTAAGGAATAGAAGGGGAAGTGTATAAATATATATACACAGTACAAGGCATTACAATTTCAAATATACCCAATGGGAAGCATTTGAAACAACGCAAGGGCTTTGAGATTGTCGCGTTATGGGAGTTTACCGATTTTGGAGCTGACATTTAATTCGGTGCCAGCACCCCAACCTCCCCCGCTACCCCAGAGAGAATCCACATCACGCGTTCAGAGCACGTGGTTTCTATACATTCCCACGTGATGATGATGATGCCGATGCTGAGCCCACTTCGCTGAGCTATCATTTGTGGTAGCCAGGTCGCACCTGGGAAAATAAATAAGTAATATTGAAAGAAAAAAAACTTTTTAAAAAAAACACGCTTTTATTGAATGTACCGTTCTAGTAATGGAAGAACTCCACGACTCCAGGAAGTGGCCCCGAAGCTTGCCACAACGTAAGGGGACCGTGGTGATTTACAGCCAACGTCAGTTGAGCGTGGACAATTAGACCCAAGCCGAAACATAACATATAAAAAATTTAGTTAAATTTTATTTTTAATAATATAATATAGTATTGTCATCAGTATGACATAAGTATACCAAGTTTGCAGTCGATACCACATTGGGAAGTGGGTACAAATTTAGTTACAAGATTTGAGGATACAACAACAGACAGTGAAATTTTTATTTAAAGCTTTCGTGACTGCAAGGATTCATATTCTTGGTTCTTTCGGTAAAGTCACCACGTAGAAGGGAAACAATAAAATAATAAAAATATTAAACAATACAATTCTCACGACGTTTCGACTGCAACACAAGCAATCATCATCAGTTTTCACACCTGATGATGATTGCTTGTGTTGCAGTCGAAACGTCGTGAGAATGTTATTGTTTTATATAGATTTTATTATTTGATTGTTTTCCTTCTACGTGACTTTACCAAAAGAACCAAGAATACCAGACAGTGAGTTAGTAAAAAAAAAGCGTATAAAATAATCATAGTAAAAAGAATCAGTGACTCGGTAGAAATAAAGAAAAGCCAACTCGTTTCAATCGAGGGACCTCGCACCGACGGCGGAGGGCCGCGTGCCCGGCGAGACGAGAGCGCACGCGATGCCGGCGGATTTCAAGACGCGTGTCCCGCGACTCCTCCTCCTCCTCCTCCACTGCGTCTGTGAATACGCGAGGCGACTCCTCCTCCTCCTCCTCCACCGCGTCTGTGAATACGCGAGGTGGATTTGCGTGGAGTGAGTCCGCGGTGATTGAATCGATTTTTGTTGTCTTTGAAGTGAGTTCATTCCGGGAGGTGCGGTTTGGGGGGGGGGCGGGGTGCATTTATATTTGTATATTTTTTTTCTCTAAGCGACACGAAATAAATACGCGAATAAACGCGGTCTCTTTCGCCGATATGTGTCTGTCCACCTGAACGAAAACTTGCGTGCAAACTCATTTCTTCAGAACTGCTTTTTGTTTCGTGTTTAGTTTGTTGTTTACCCCCACCCCCCAACCCCGCTGCCGCACCTCCGATTAGCGCCGGGTTGGCTACGTACGGTGCGAAAGAAGCATGCACCTCCCCCTAGGTCGACTCAGCCACCAAAACGAGCAGCTGGCGCGATGCGTAGCAAACATCGCCACAGTGGGGAGGCAGAAGCGACCGCGGTGTGCTGCTGCCGTAACAGCACTTGCCCCAAACGTCGGTTATGACGATACGGGGTGGGGTGATCTTGGTCTTTGAGTGAATCTTGATACCGATCCCATCCGACGAAATGCCGCGGCCGCAGAATATTATTCCGTTTCGCCTCCGCAAATCTGATCGCCGCCGCCGCCGCCGCAGCTTGAGACTCCGCAAAGGCTTTGCCCCTGAGCGCGTCGATGGCCCTCGAAGAGTGTGATTGCATCGCCGGTGTTAGAATGGTGACCGGCGCTAGAGGCGCAGCCCCGCAATTGCCACTGCTACCGGAAGGACCTCCGCCGTTGGAAGGCTTATACGGGGGGGGCGGTAGGGGGGGTAATCTTCGTGTCGTCTCTTTGTCCTCACGCGGGCGTCTTTCGTCGTGTTTACGCGCAAATGTGTGTGTGTGCGTGTGCGCGCGTGTATGAGGGAGCGGTGGTGCAGCGGTTAGCGCTACGCTGCCCGGGCGACCCTACTCTATGGTTTTATTCGGTAAAGTCACGTAGATAAAATAAAAGAAAATAAAAGAGTATGAATCCTTGCAGTCACGAAAGCTTCAAATCTAGAATTAATAACCGGGCGACCCTGTTTCTGTTGCCGCTCACGGCCACCAACACCGGTGAGGATTATCTGAACCGGTGCTGGGCCTCCCCTAGGTCGCCTCGACCTCAAATGAGTAACCCGGTGCGGTGCGTAGTAAACATCGCCACTGGGGGGGAGGGGGGGGGAGAGACAAAGGCGGCCGCGCGTGGAGCTGCCCACTCACCCCGTGCCGGCCTTCATTTCAGTTTCATTTCAGTTTCATTTATTAGGAGGTATAACTCTGTGAGTGCAACCGCAACAAAAACATGAACACATAAACATCTTAAAGTGACTTACGCGCAAAACAGAAAAATCCAGGAAAAAAACAGCAAAGTCTTCCAGAAAAAGCACCGCATTTCAACGCTGTGTGCAAAAATCCCAGTGGGATGCAAGTCAAACAATAACAACCATAAGACAATGTAGATTAAAGTTATGAGGCTAACTCTGTACTACAACAAACAAACGTGGCTAAACCAAAACGTTTTTCGAAATAAAAAAAGCGATTAAAACAATAATAGGGTTTTTCCCCTCTTTTTCTGGCAACAAAACTTAAACCTTATTTTACGAGGATTCATGTCTGCATTAACCACAATACCTGCAGTCAAAATGCAAACAAAAAACATACTATGATAATATATGCATTGTACTTGAAACTGATTGGTCCACACCAAGGGACGGCTTTCTTTTGAGCCTCGACCCAATTGGTGCTCGACCTGATGACAATGAATATATTATCATAGTATGATTTTGTTTGCATTTTGACTGCAGGTATTGTGGTAAATGCAACAACATGAATCCTTGTAAAAAAGGTTTCAGTTTTGGTGCCAGAAAAAAGGGGAAAAACACTATTATTGTTACATTTTGCTACTGGCAAAGGAGGTCTAATGATGTCGATAAAAACAACTTAACAGTGAAACAATAATATCATAAAAATATAAAACAATAAAATTCTCACGACGTTTCGACTGCAACACAAGCAATCTTCATTAGTTTTCACACCTGATGATGACTGCTTGTGTCGCAGTCGAAACGTCGTGAGAATTTTATTCTTTTATATTTTGATTATTTTATTGTTTCCCTTCTACGTGGTGACTTTACCAAAAGAACCAATAAAATGAATCCCTGCAGTCACGAAAGCTTTGAATCAAAATTTAACTTAGCAGTGATCGTAGGAACTTCGATTCAAATTTAACAATAAACGATATACGTATCATGTACGGCCAAACTTTGCAGCCACAGCTGCCCTTCACAGGTTCCACTCGCTCACAGCACTTGCCCCGACAGTCCGTTGAGGCTACACGGTGCAGGGGTGGGTGCGGGGTTACACCTTTGTCTCTGTGCGCGTGCCAGGGATTCTCAACGATCGCGCCCAAGAAGAAGGTGCCCGTGACGTCCGAGACGGTGGTGTTCTGGGGCATGCGGCTCTGGCAGGTCGTGGGCATCTTCTCCATCGGAGTCTTGGCCGTCAGTGAGTCGGTGCCCGTTCGAATCCGCCGCACTCGGCATCCGCTACGCGAGCGTCTCTCTACCGGGGAAGGGGGAGGCGGGGGGGGGGGGTGCTGTCAGGTGGGGGTCGCCGTACGTCCAATTCACGCAACTGAAACTCGTTCCGAGACGCCTGCAAGGTGGCAGGCTGGCGGTGTTCCCTCGCCCCGACCGCCGAATTTGGGGGAACGCGCAGGTGGCTCGGTGTTTAACGTCTCCTTACCCTCTCATCCAGGGGATGTCTGTCTCTCCATCTCAACCAGCTCACGCCTCCAGTAAACCACGTGACCTCTGTGTGTGGCCACGCCCACTCTGAACCCCCTCTCATCCAGGGATGTCTGTCTCTCCATATAAACCAGCTCACGCCTCCAGTAAACCACGTGACCTCTGTGTGTGGCCACGCCCACTCTGAACCCCCTCTCATCCAGGGATCTCTGTCTCTCCATCTAAACCAGCGCACGCCTCCAGTAAACCACGTGACCTCTGTGTGTGGCCACGCCCACTCTGAACCCCCTCTCATCCAGGGATCTCTGTCTCTCCATCTAAACCAGCTCACGCCTCCAGTAAACCACGTGACCTCTGTGTGTGGCCACGCCCACTCTGAACCCCCTCTCATCCAGGGATCTATGCCTCCCCAACTGAACCAGCTCACGCCTCCAGTAAACCACGTGACCTCTGTGTGTGGCCACGCCCACTCTGAACCCCCTTTCATCCAGGGATCTATGTCTCCCCACCTGAACCAGCTCACGCCTCCAGTAAACCACGTGACCTCCGTGTATGGCAGCGTCCTTAGGGGTACGGTGAATGGAGGTTTGGGGGGGGGTGTGGGGGGGGATCGCCCCGAGCCCCGCGTTTTGGGGGGTTGGAGGGACCCGCGACTCTCCCCGCCCATGGACGTCCCCGGGAATTGCTTGCGTTGCGCGCCGCATCCCACGCCGCCGTTCATCTTCACGGCAGGGAGTCGTTCTTCGCTCTCCGAACGCGTTCGTGATGAATTGGCGACGGCACCAGCCAACCCACTTGCACCCGGCACACCCCTGCGGGTTCGCGTGGAACGCCGCATTCCGCTGACATTTCACAGCACGGTATCAGTTTGTGGCAGATTCCGGACGAAAAAAAAAATGAGTGTGGGGAGAGGGGAAATAGATATATAGCGGGAGCTGCGTTTTCATATTGGCGTGGCTCTCTCACTCTCTCTCAAACACTCTCACACTCTCACTCTTTCACTCTCTCTCACTCTCACTCACTGTCGCTCACTCACTCTCACTCACTCTTTCACTCTCTCTCACTCTCTCTCAAACACTCTCACACTCTCACTCACTCTTTCACTCACTCTCACTCACTGTCGCTCACTCACTCTCACTCACTCTTTCACTCTCTCTCACTCTCTCTCAAACACTCTCACACACTCTCTCTCACTCACTCTCACACACTCTCTCTCACTCACTCTCACACACTCTCTCTCACTCTCTTTCACTCTCAATCTCACACACTCACTCACTCTCTCTTACTCACTCTTTCACTCTCACTCACTGGCTCTCAAACTCTCTCTTACTCACTCACTCTCTCACTCACTCACACTCTCACTCACTGTCTCTCAAACACTCTCTCTCTCTTACTCTCTTACTCTCTCACTCACTCTCTCTCACACTCTCTTACTCACTCACTCTCTCTTACTCACTCTCTCACTCTCACTGTCTCTCTCACACTCTCTCTCTCACTCTCTCTCTGTGCATGCTGTGAAGACGGTGTGTCTAACCGTGCCCCTGGCGTTGACATTACTTGCCAGTGAGGGCCTAGTTTTACGTGTGCATCCTAGCCTCGCCTGACGTTCGTTTTTTGCGCTTTCCAGCTACCTCTTTAAATCTCCGAGCACCTCCGAGTGCTCATCATCTTCTTCTCCCCTCCACCTCTGTGAATGCCTCCAACAACAGACACAGGCTCGTGATGTCTCTCACTTCTGCATCTCTTTTTACTCTCATCACACTCGTTTACTCGGCAAGCCTGCGGCCTACTCACAGCCCTGCACCCACTACCTTTCCCCCTTGCCCTCTGTTACATCCTTCCTATTCTTCTGCTTTACTGCAAACATTAAAATCGCTCCTCTTTCTCACTCCCCTCCTCTTTCTCACTCCCCTCCTCTCTGCGCTCCTCCCCCTCTCTCAGCAGAGCTGCTTCCCTGCCCCCACAGCACCCATCACGTCACGTGACGCTCGTGACAACACCTGCTCACTGCCCCCCCCCCTCTCTCCTGTTGCCACCCTTCGCCCCCCCCAACCCCACCCCAACCCCACTCTTATTTTCCACCCATCTCTTCTTGTCTTGTTCTCTCCTTTCATTCGTGCAGCTAACGACGTTTATTTATTTACATACAATTTATTTTTTTATTTATTTACTTACTTACAAATGCCACGCCACTCCGGAGGACATCTCTCAAACCGCCCAACAGGGACTGTTCTGCTTCACCGCCACCTGAGATAAAGGTGGACGACGTGATAGACGCCGCTGCTGGACAGTGTGTGGGGAAGCGGAACGTCATCGCCGCGACTCCCGTGCACCGTGGCTATGTGGTCCTCTTCACCAACGCGGAGATGGTGGCACGCGTCATCGCCGCGGGGCTCACCTTCAGGGGGGAGATATTTGTGCAATGCACGCCTCTCTCCTCCCCCGCGCGAAAAGTGCTCACCTCCAACGCCCCCCACCACCTTTCCTCAAAACTGCCGACCTACAACGAGACCTTGAGCGGTTCGGCAAAGTTGTGTCCCGAATCGTCACGCTGACCTCGCGCACGCGGGGACCCATAAATGGCGCACGCCTTGTCGTTCAAGCGACGAACTTTCATGGTTTTAAACGGCAACAACACGGAACTCAACGTGAACTTTAAGTGCGCTTCGGAAGGCTACGCCTACACCGTGTACGTGTCCACCGCGTTGCCACGCTGCTACGTGTGCGGTGGCTTCGGCCATGCCCGTGCAAACTGCATGGGCAAACCAAAAGGAAAAAAACGTGCATCCTGCAACAAACATCACGCAGCAGCAGCAACAGCGCCAGCAGCTGCAACCGCAGCAGCAGACACCACAGCCACAGCAGTGCCGGCAGGAGCAGCAGCAGCAGCCGCCGCAGCCTTCGCAGCGGCAGAAGCAGCTGCAACATCAGGAGCAGCCGCAGCCGCAGCCGCAGCAGCAGCCGCAGCAGCCACAGACAAAGCAGCCTCAGCAGCAGCAGCAGCCACCGCAGCCTCACCAGCAGCAGCCGCAGCCACCGCAACCTCAGCAGCAGCAGCAGCCACCACAGCACGAGTGCCAGCTGCTGCAGCAGCAGGATGCTGACTAGGCGACCGGTCGCACAAAGCCGCCCACCGACGATGAAGATGACGAGGACTTCACCCTCGTCACCTCGCGCAAGCGCAGGGTGAAGCCCGGCCATGGCGGAGGAGGCCACGCAGCCCCTAACCCTAAATGCGCGGCCACCGCCGATCATGAGCCCTACCCAAAAGACACAGAGCAGGACGAGCAACGCCCCTCAGCGAGCGCCATCCTAGACGGCGTTGCGGGGAATGAGCACAAAGACATGCTCGACGGTGACCCATCTGAGGACAACACGGTGGGACAAGGACCGCCAACACCCCCACCGCCGCACGCCGCACGCCGCCTCAGCATCCTCAGAGCAAGAGGAACCACCGGCCGGTACGGCGCCTAACGGCTCCACACTGCAGGAAGGCGACGAAGGCCGGCTCACCTCATCCGAGGGGAGAGCAAAAGACCCTCCACTACCAGAGGGCAGCCACCCTCTTCCCAATGAGGCCCTGCCATCACCAACGGCAAACGAGGTTTCTGCCGAGTCACGGTTTGACGAGCTGGAGGACTCGGACGACGAGGTGTCGGAGACCGAAGGAGAGGACAACGTGCGTGAACTCAGCTACTCACAAGTCAACAGCGAGTGCGATTACACACCTGGAGACATCCACAGCTTCCTCGGGAAAACTTTCAGGAAGCGTCAAGTTAGGGTCGCGGCCGTTTTTCCTGACCTCACCGCTTTCCTCAAAGCATCCCAACAAATTTGCCGCAACAGCGACAGGTTTGGTTTCTCAACTCACGATTGCTACCACCTGAAAGCGTTCATGCGCAAGGCGAAGAAGGAGCTTACTTTTGCCCAGAAGTAACCCAGCCCCCCGCAACTACTTTTAACACTACCACCACCACCACCACACAACTACATGATGGCTTCAGCTATTAAGGTTGCTAGTCTGAACTGTAACAGCGCTCGCAGTAACAAGATGTGGGACCAGATCTGCCGCTTTGTCAGGGAACACGAAATAGATGTGACTCTCCTCCAGGAAACTCACCTCGACGCCACTCTGGAGGCCCAATGCCAGCCTTTCTTAGGCGGCCGAGGCCTTCTTCAGCCATGCCGAGGACAACCTCGCCGGCGTGGCAATTGTGCTCAGTTCACGGTTTGCACCAGAGAATGTCTCCTTCAAATAAATCGTCAAAGGTCACTTGATTTCTGTCGAATTCGTCCTGAATAAATCCTGCTTCAGGTGCTATAACGTGTACCCGCCGAGCAAGGCCCCCGAGAGGAAGCTCTTCTTCGGCACGCTGCGGGACGCACTTGCGACAGACGACGTGGACGACGTGCTCACCGTCATGGGAGGAGACTTTAACTGCACCCTTGACCCGGCTCTCCACCGCAACACTGCCGAACCTCACCCTGAATCCGCACGGCCGCTCGCCGAGCTTGTGCGGAGACTGGATCTGCGTGACGTGTGGCGACTACAGCATCCAGCCCAGTGGCAGGACTCTTGGTGCCGCTGCGGTTCTCAAGGCAGGATGAGCCTTGCCAGGCTCGACCGACTATACGTCAACGCCAGCAGCGTTAACCTGCTCGGGGACAGTAAAATCGTACCCTCCGTTTTCTCCGATCACCGCCTGGTCTCCGTGCTGATGCGAATTCCCAGAGCGGAGCAGCACAGCGCCTACTGGA